ATTGTGTATTAACTGCCTAACAATCTCAGCATTGCCTACATACTGTATATTTATGTGCCCTAGCAATAGTAGATGAAGATGGATGACATGACAATGACTTTCTACCATCTTACCATGCTTCTGCCTGACTCAGTGATTTGCTACTCACTTACCATGCTTACGTGTTTAAAATACTGCACCTTGTAATATGATTATTTTGTGCAGATTGTTGTGTAGCCATACAATGCTGTATACTGTATCAACTCCTCACAGACCTCCTTCCATGATCCTTGATATACATCTTGTAGTGTTTACTTGCACATGTAATGACTGTGTGTTAGTCTGCTGAATGCAATATTTAGCTTCATCTGTGGGAGCTGTTTTTCTGAGCTCCTCTCAGATCTCATACATGCTATGTTGTGTACACAGCGTTGTGGTGCTTCACCCCATTGGCCTACGTAAATGCATGAACACATCCCTTTAACACACTCAGAAACACTGTGTCTGGTGATTTTGTACCTTCTTCTGCTTGAACAGTCTTATGATGTATCAAGACAATATCCATTGTATGTACTTTGGGAACAGATACTGCTGTATACTAAGTGAGTTCTCAGTTGAATGGAAGGTGGGTGGTTGTTCTCATGTTACATTTGGTGTAGGGTACCAGCTATTACTGGATGGCTCTTGCAGTGAAAGTGTGTATATATGTTCTGCATCACTAGACTCAGTTAAACCAACATTTGCAAGTCATCTAACTTATCCACGTGCTGCAGAAAAATGACTGATATACTCCTCATTTGCACCCTACGGATCATGCTTTTCTGGATTCATGGCCCTTGTCATACCCATTCTCCATTTCCAGAACACCTTTCTCTTCCCCTATATCATCTCATGGATCCGTGGGGGGGTCTGCTTATCCAATTACTAGCGGAGTTTGGTATGATCTGCACACTGTACTGAGCTACACTAGTGAAAGCTCTGAGCAACTGCATGCCCCCTGTGCTACTATGCAAAGCAGAAGTGCACCCTCTGCACTAGCACTCAGCAAGCCACAAAATCCAGGCAATACTCTCTGTTTACAATATTTTGTATTATTCAAGTAATAAATATCATGCAATAAAAACAGGAATTTCTTATACAGCTTTGCAGATATCTGCTTTATAGTTATTTGGGAAAAGATTATGGGAATGAGATGAGTCACGCTGTAGGGCCTGAAGATGGTGACAGTAGGATTTAAAGGGAAGGTATTCTATAGCCCTATACCTACTTCTGGCTACCCTGAGTTTATGCTTGGGCTCAGTATCATAGAAACTTCAAATATCCCATCAATGGTTTTCCAGAAGGAAACACAGCTAGCAAATTTTAGTAGTAATTAACAAGGATAAACATATGGGGCAGGCAGAACTGTTAAAAACAAACATCTCAAGAGTCCTTACTTTGTGATAGATATTAAAGGCAACAGTGAGGCTTTTGCTTCTCTCATATAGTTTTATACTATTATGATCTTTGTTAGGCCAAATAACTAAGTTAAAATGAAAGTCTACCACAATTTTATTTTTAAATCATTATCTTCCTCCTATTAAGTTGTCTCTAAAATGGCATTACTCTCAAAACATACTGTATGTCTTGCTTTATTTAGCATGTCTTTAGACAAAGAATCTGATACAAATCTTTGCAATTGTCTTAGCTGAATGGCATGCTGGTATTACCTAAACATTTTATGCAATTACAGCTGAAATCCTGATTAGATTGGACAAGTGAGAATAGAAAATCAAATATATCTAAACTGAGAAATTAGGCTCATAGATGTTCACCCCTCTCTGGGAAACATTTATACAATATTTCCATATAAGAAAAAAACATGGACACTAAAAATATATGATAAGGGTTAAACTGGGGGCGGGGAGGATTTGAAGGGTTCTTATAAGATTCAAGGTTAAACCAATCATCAAATTATACTAAAATGATATGAGACAGAGAAAGATCACCACAAGCTAGTCTGAAATATGGGAAAGATTTGATAACATTAATTTGCAATAATTAACATAAGGAAAAAGATAGGAGTGACAGTTTTCTTTAAGTACTCTTCTTGTAAAAAAATTATTATTAAAGCAGAATGGACAAGCTTAAATAGCTATGCCTTAGGTTAGGGGTAGACAGATAACACATCAGATAAAAATATAAAAAATATTAAATGCTTTCAAGGTAACAAACTATTATTTATACTGTAGTAGCATTTAGGGGTTTCAATCAGGAATCAAGGTTCTATTGTGCAATGCACTTTAAAAAAATACAAACAAGGCAGTCCCTGTCCTGAAGAGCTTACAAGTATAAGATGAAAGACAACAGGTGGATGCAACAAACAGATGGGGGGGAAAACAAGACAATAGTGAGACAATTATGAACAGTATGTAACTATCTGATAACACAAGAGATTTGGCAAATAGTGAGACGAAAACACTCCACCAGGATTTCCTGTCTCACAGAAGGAATTTCAGTGAAAGTCTATTACCAAGTAATTTCAAACTATACATAACATAGTATAGTATAAAACCAGTGTAAAGTTCTCAAAAACACTGAAGGAAATGTAATCAGAAATGATCACAAGAACATATCTGTGGACAGCTCCAGAAGCTAAGAGAATCCTGGTAATAAAGAAAAGTATATTACTTTAATACATAGGAGCAGAGAAAGTGCTTTCCTAGTTTTTTTATACTAGGAATTTTTATTTTTTGAAATTGAAAACAAAAACTATTTAGAATGTTGACTTACATTTCCTTTACACTGTCTATATTTTCTTTGTGGTTAACAAATAAAAGAAATTTTAAAAATTAATTAAATGTAATACTTCAAATGGATTTCTACCAAAAAAAGACGGTCCATTATGTGTACCTTATTTTGGAAGAATATGATGTCAGAGTAAGGAATTAACAGTTGGGCCAAGTTATCTTATTTCTCCATTCATATGTAGGAAAGTTTTCTATAGCAGAGACTTTCTTGTATATAATTCTTATTATTAATAAACCTTATATTTCTTCGTTACCTTTCATCTGAAATGCTTTATAAAAATAGGCCCAAATTCTGAAAGGGGATCCACTTAATGGATCCTTATTCATGTATGTACCATTTGTGGATTAAGGCCAAAATAAGCTCTTTCTTGTACAGAAGAATTTCATTCTCACTGCTGCACTAAAAATTTTACTGATGAATTTATAATTTAAAGTATCATTTAACAGAAGTCAAGGCATACAGTAACATTACAACTAAAGATAGCCTTTAAACAAATTTTGCTTCTTCTATACCAATTTATTTAATCAGTTATTTAGATTAACATACATTTATTCAGATTCTTCATTTTTATATTATTATTTTAGTAATGGTTGTTGACGTCACCAGACATCACCATCACCCCAGGTAACTCAGGAG